AGCAGTCACAACTATTTTGATATCTAATGCCCCCTACTCCTTTTAAGAACCTGTTATTTGTTCCTTTAGGATCAATAGCTTCCTAGTAGCAGACGCGCAGTCTCTATTTTCTTTGTGTGTAATGTCTCTGTTTTCTTTGTGTTTGTTTTCTTTTTTCCCTGGAATTAAAAGCTTATTCACTCACTTTCAATCATTCTTTTTTTACAAACAAAAAATTTAAGTCTATAAGTACTACTTTTCTTCCTCCAGTGGATAGCTGGTGCTGTTTTCATTCAGTTCTAAATTTTTGTAATATGTCTTTTATATAAGAGATGTAGAGATTTGCCTTTACACTTCCCAACCTCTAAACTTTTAGTGATATTTTCATTGTAAACCTGTTATTATCTTCCTGGAGTTTATTGAGATGGTGTATCTTACCGTATGGTCAATAGAAACGCTTGCAATCTTTCAGTATTTAAGTTTAATGTTTACAGTAGGCTTTTGGCAGATATCAATAGCAAAAATTATCTTTTGTTACTAGCTTATTGGTGTTTTTAAATTAAATAAAAAACTTGTGCTCTATTTTAACAGATATTTATTTGTGGAACGCATTGAGATGCCTTTTGTTTTCTTTCTTCACTTTGACTATTTTGATATAGTACATGTTTCTTGCCCTATTCTTTCCCTTGGAGATCTAATCTGTGCATTCTCCAAGTCATATTTGTATACCTCTGACAAGGCAGTATCACCGAAACTAAGCTAAAAATGTCAGTAATATTATTTACATTTTTAAACAATCTACCACACTTATCTCAGCGTTGAACAGACAATTGCCCATTATTTTTCTGCAGACTCAGGCAGAATTATCTCAGTATTTCATTTCACCTGAAATCTCATCCAGGTAGGTATTCCTTTTTTGTCTCTCTAAGTTTGTTTCCATTCTCTTGTTAGATCTCATTCCAATCACCTCCTCTAAACTGTTAGAGGCTAAAATGTAACTCTTTCATAACTCCTTCTTAACTCATCTCCTGATCTTTCCTTTTCTTTTCCTATCAATACTGTAATCAACAAACATAATCTTTCTACAGAAATCCTTTAATTCTTCCAGTTTAATCAGCCTGCCTTCTTTTACTTTTCTCTGGTGGCTACTTTTGACCTCCAGATCTAAATATATGTGAAATAAACATGGCTCTTACTTAATTCCCTGGATACTACTGACTCCTACTGGTAAAATAATCTAGGCACAACTCTTTTTCTTCTTGGCTTTGCTTTTTCCCTTCTACAAAGTCCTATATAACAAATATTTCTACTCTTCTTTATACATTCATGATGAAAACCATTATTCTGCAGTTGCAAATATAGGGAATTTTGGGGCTGGGGATTTAGCTCAGTGGCATAAACACCTGCCTTGCAAGTAGGCGGTCATGAGTTCGATCCTCAGTACTGATAAAAAAAAAAGTTTAAAAAAAAAGTTTAAAAAAAGGAAAATATAGGGAATTTCAAAAGTCCCTCAAATACCACTCCTGGGATTTACACAGTCCACAGAAACAGAGGATATGTCTAATTGCTAGGAAATAAAGAATTTGGTCCCTCTCATTTATTTCCTTATCCCTATAAAAGGATGCAATTCAACCAAGATGCTAAAGTGAAGTGAAATTGGGTAAACCTGATCTAATGCTACCTGAAAAGCTTTCACACAACGTAAGGACTACAATTCCTTAAACTTGTATTTTTTTAACTACAGTATGTGTGCAATTTAGGCTATTGTATCTAAAGTCTTCATGTTTATTGTGGCTGAGAAGAAAGGTAACCCAAATGGATCCATTCAGTGGTACAATATCTTTCCTCTCTACAGCAAGCCTATCTCAGCTACAACTATGTGATTCATGATCAGCCACAGTGGCCTAAACGTCTATGCCCAGTGCCTCTAAAAAAATAGTGGCTTACAGGCAGACACTACCTACCATAAACAGCTTGTATTTGAAAAAGCCAAAGAACTGAAAAGTCCAAGTCACTAAACCCTTAAAGCCTTGTTCCCCAGTATAGCAGACATCTAACCGCTATACATTTACTTTGGTTCCCTAATTCCATTTGAGTACCTATTCCTCAAGACTTAACACCCAATATACAATTAAATGTGTTAGGACTTAAAGGGGAAAGCTAATCATATTCCTTCCCCCTCCAAGTGTTCAGTCAATTCCTGGTCTTGAGGTGACCCATCAAAAGAAAAATACGCAAAGGAAACACTTACCGGGATAGCAGCAAGGGGCATCACTGCCCCCAAAGCAGATGAGAAGCCCTCTTCAGATCTGCCTCTGGAGCGCAGACTTGATCTCAGCAGGTGTGCTTACCATATGAGAGCAGGATCAGACAACAGTGGATATATATTATAGGTAGGGAAGTACAAAAGTGATAAGGAATGTTCAGGATATAGCTCAGCTCAGCCGCACAGTGCCTGCCTGGCAAGCGTTGAGTTCAATTCCTGATTAAAAAAAAAAAAGAAAAAGAAAAAGAAAGAAATGTAATCTCTCTCTCTCTCTCTCTCTCTCTCTCTCTCTCCAATGACCCTTCTCCTTCTATCTCCATCAAAAAAACACAATCTTTTTTCCTTAGAGAAGGAAAAGGTAGAACTAGGGCAAGGAATGATATTCAAATATTGTTCCCTCCTAGAAAAACAGAGGAACAGGGACAAATGACAGCTTCTTGCCTCTGGTGGTAGAAAGAAAGCTTGTACTCTTCCCTGCTCCCGCAGGAGTAGGGGATTTGTCTCCCTCACAACCAAGGTCTGCCCTGGAATTCATTCTCAGCTTCCAACCCAAAATTCAGGAAGATGTTTATTAAAAGATTCTGTTAACAATAACAACAACAAAAAAGATTCTGTTACTGGGTCATTTCTGTACTGGATTTTAGGGTGACATGGGTGAGGCAAGGACCCAGAGATTCAGTCTGACTCCAACCAATGCCCAGATATATTTACTCACAGAGCTTCATCTGATTAACAAAAAGGAAATATCAAGGAATCTCCTTCCAGGGCATTTCACTAACAACTAATCTTCAAGAAGTCTCTGGCCACTGGAGTGAAAAAAATAACAAATCAGGCCAAGAATCCTAAAAATCCTGCCTCTGTTATCAAGTTGTTCTGCGGTCTTAGGTTTCTCCCTCTCCACCATTAACACTTAAGAGGACTCAGTGTATCAGTGAAAGACGTATTACATCAAAGTTGTCAGTGGCTACCCTCAGACAAAAGTCCTCAAGAGAGAACACAAATAAGGATAGTATTTGGGAGCTCAAGTGTCAAAAGTCATTAATAATAGGTAGTTTGAAAAATTATTATTATTATTATTATTATTTTGTTATCTGAGCTCAACTCCATGAGTAAATGGGAGCTCCTTTCCTCTCAACTTCTTCAGTCCACTTATCCAGTAGATTTCCTAAGGAAGGGGACAAAGGAAAAATTTTACCCTTCAGGGGGGCCCATCGGGCCTACCCAGCCTAGGCTAAGAAAAGACAGCAAAAGGATGACTCTTCCTACTCTCAAAAGTCACCTCCACAACTGAGGGCCCACTCGTGCCATAGGTAACACAAGCATAGCCCTCCTGCCCTATTATACTCTCGCCCAGAAACGCTGAAGCTCTTCAGGGTCACAGACTATACTCTCAGTCTTCTTAATTAAAGATCCCTGGCTCATAAAGTGAAGGCTGATAAATGCCTTTCAGCCTCCTCTTAAGGAGTCACATATATACAAGCAGAGTGGTCAGTTATTTCATCTACAGCATCAGGGACACATTGTAGGAAAAATGAACATTGTTAATACCTGATTCGTTCAAGGGGTTGGGGAAGACAGGCCCTAAGGATGTAACATTGGAGGGGCCTCACAGTCATAGGAAAACAATCCTATTATTTAATAAAATCTAGCACCATGCTGCTCCTTCACCAAATCCAAGGCAATCTGCTCTTTGGAAGAAATCAATCTTCCACCTTGCTAACCCTCCCACCCATCAATACACCTGTAGTAGAAACACAACGCTCGAATCTTGAGGGAAATAAACCACTAGTTAGCCACTAAGAAATGAACAGACTCTACCAACCCTGAGATAATTTGAGGTCGGACAGCTGGGACCACATACCTCTGTTTCCCTGAACATTATTCATGGTTTTGCAAGGTCTTATCTTAGACCCAACCCACCCGAGAGTTGATTGGGTTGCCATCTGAGCGATTGTCATTTTCTGATACTTTTATAGTTGTTTCCACATTGTTTAATCTCATTTTGAGCAAAAGTTACCATTTGCAAGTAGAATTCAAATTGGCAGAAGCGTTACAATGCAAAAGCATGGTTTAAAATCATTCTGTAAAATCTACAAAGACTCACTCTTCAGACACTAAGAAGCGTCTGTCAGTCATACAACCACATGTACACTTACATAGCTTCACTGAGCAGAGGTAGCTGAGGAATAACATTAGCATCCTATCAACCTTCAATCTTTGTTTAAAAGATACTAAAAATAAATTAGTAAACATTGCTGTTTATAGAAATAGAAATCATTTCTGTGTCCAAAGGCCTCTCATCAACCCAGTCCTGGGCATTTCCAAGACTGCCATCCCTGATACCCTCTCCAAAGTCCACCCTGATGGGAGAGTAAGATACCAGTCCTTTGAGACCGGGAGCTCCTCCTGCATATGAGAATTCCAGTTCAACATTTCTGGTTCCAGGACGAGGAGAATCTTCAGTATTCTGCAGAGTACCAAAGTTCATCCATTCTCACAAGTTCCTGGAGTCTGTCTTGAGGCAACCCCTACTTTTAAAGGATGGTATCTGGGTTGCAAGAATTCCCGCTATTTTCTGGCTCCCAGTCTCTCCCCACAATCCAATATGCCCGTCTAGATCCAACCTCCTCAGAGCCGAGAACTCAGTCTGTGCCTTGGTCTAATAACTCTGAAAAAGTAAGATGGGCAAAGAGAAAGCGGAGACATTGACTTGAAGGAATTGTCCTTGAGGGAAGGACAGACAGCAATGACTGTCCTACAGGTAGGTAGTGCCACTGGTCGCCTGGCCAGAGCCAGGGCCAGAGCCAGAGCCAGAGCCAGAGCCAGAGCCAGAACTTTCAGCCACACTGGTAGGTTGCGGATCTTCGGCACGAGGTGTGCGACGACGCCCCCGATACTCAACCATGTCTGGGTGATACAGCGGATGGCGACGGGCATGCTTGGTCAAGTGGTCGCTCCTGGAGAACAGCTTGGGGCAGAGAGGGCAGGAGAAGCGCTTCTCGCCGGTGTGCGTCCTGTAGTGGCGGGCCAGCTCGTCAGAACGCGTAAACTTCTTGTCGCAGTTGAGCCAGTCGCAGGAGAAGGGGCGCTCGCCCGTGTGGATGCGCTGGTGCGACTTGAGGTGCGATGACTTGTAGTAGGCTTTGTTGCAGCCCGGGAAGGAGCACACATGGCGCTTGGTAGCAGGTGTTGCGGGCCTCCTCCGTTGCATCTGACGTGCCGCAGGGCCGGAGCCGGACCCTGGACCCCTGCGGGACCCTCTCCAGGTGTGCGCGGCCACACCCTGGACAGCTGACTCACTTGGGACGGCGCGCGAGCCGGAGGAGCTGGAGGGTCCGGGGACCGCTTCTTCGCTGGAGGCCGGGTCCGGCTGGAGGCGTCGGGGCGGCCCCGGGCGTCGGCGCGGGTCGGAGGAGCCGGACGAGTCTCGCGGAGCCTTCTGCAGGTTCGCCCTTAAGCGCTGCCTGGAGCGGGCGCGCAGATCAAGCAGGATGCTCGCGGCCAGCAGGTGGGGCGCCGCGCCGTCCGCGCCGGGGCCGGGGGCGCAGACCTGGGGAGCCGGGGGTGCCGGCGCGGGCCCCGGGGCTCCCAGGCCCGGCGGAGCGGACCCCGGGGGCGCGGCACCCCCCTCGGGGTCCGGCGGGCGGCGGTGGACCACGGCGCCCGCGGACATGGACACCAGGCACTCGGCAGCGAAGTAGTCCAAGCACGCCGCCGCCGACATGGAGCGCCAGCCCGGCCGCCCGCCGGCAGCGTCTGAGGGCGGCCGGCCGCAGGCCGCGGGGTCCTCCGGAGCGTCCGTCCCGCCGCCTCGGAGCAGAAGCCGGAGGCTGCCGCGCACCGCTCGCGCCGCCGCTGCTGCTGCTGCCGCCGCCGCCGCCGCCGCCAGCGCTAAGCTCGGCCGGCCCCGCCCGCCCGCCCGCCGCCCCCTGACGCAGGGAGCCGGACCCGGACCGCCCCGGCCGCCGACCCCCGCCCCCCGCCGCCCCCTCCCGGAACTGCCGCCGCGGCCAGCACGCCGAGCGGGAGATGTCCGGTCCTGCCCGCGCCCGGCTGCGCTGGCCAGCAGGTAACGCTCCCGGCGCCAACTCCGGGTCCGAACTTCTGCGCGGCCGGCCCGCCCCGCCCGCCCCGCCCGCCCCGCCCGCCCCGCCCGCTAGGGGTCCCGCCGCGTCCAGAAACTTTCTCTTTAAAGCAGGAAAAGCGCTGATACCTGGTCTGTCTTTCGATTCATAATTGCGATCGCGGCTAACTGGTCCGGGATTGCGCGCGGCTCCCGAGCTCCGCTCCGTTCGCCGCTTGCAAATTGCAAACGTCCCCAAGTCTGCGGCGGGGGAAAAAAAAAAGTTTTCTCATTTAGCGGTTCGACTGCGAATCCAGGGGCGGCAGCAGCTCTCTAAATAGATCTCCCACGTAGCCATTAATTAATAGCATTTTGAATCAGAAACATTTTTAACCGCGGAGAAGCTAAGAAGCCTCTCATGGCTGAAATTGAAACTTAAAATCCTTTGAGTAACGATTTAACTATTCAGGCAACGAAAGAAAAATGCTTGTTTACACTGCATTAACCTGTCACAGGCATACAAACAAATTTGCACGATGAAATATAAATTATAGGCTAACAGCGAGATAAACACTTTAAAATGGACTCCCACAATTTCAATAATAGAAAGTCACGTTTCCAGTTAGGCAGCATCTTCTATTTTTCTTTTAACAAAAATTAAAAATAAGAAAATGCAGCCAGTACTATAGAATGCTCATATGGTGCTTATGACTGTGGACGGTTTTTTTTTTAAATAGTCAAGTATGTGAGTAATTTCTTTTACATGTCTTCATTGCTCTAATTTTGCTCCTAAAAAATTAAAACACACAGAGTGCAAACAGGATGATTCTAAAAAATAGACATCACAGTTTTGGATGTACATAAGCTTTACTTTTATAATGAATCACGTGCATTTTATTTGTAGCTACAGTACCTTTTCTTCTGAAAATTAAAAAATACAGATGCAGCAAGAGTAACATATGTATGTGTGTTTACTGATTAGAATAATCAATTATGGTGTTTTTGCCCTATTTGCTTCAGGGTTTTTATTTTTTCTAAACATTACAGAGTTGCATGTCACTTTACTTTCCTCCTCACTTCCATTCACCTTTGTCCCTCCTTAACTTCCCAGGTAATCAGTATTATAAATTGTATATCCTAGCAGCATTTGTTATTATACTTGCAATAGTCAGTGACCTATATGTAAAAATGTATATCCATGATTATCTAAATTTTTTCATAAATGATACAGCAGTGTACATAGCATTTTTGCATCCTGCTTTTCTTTCTCAATGTGATTTTTGAGAATTATCCATGTAAATGCCTGTAGAATCTATGTTATTCATTACAATAATTTTAAAATAATATTGTTAGCTATAGTATTGTTAAGGAGATTTCATTTTAAATCTGATAATTTTTGCTAAAGTTGCTTGCCTCAAAATTTCAGGTTAGTCACCATCTATACATTAAAGTCACCTGCTACACATTACTATTTTTCTTTTAATTTTATATTTACAAAAAATAAAAAGATAATTTAAAATACAGAGGCAGTATAAACATCCATGTACCAGTCTCATATAACTAGGGAACATTACAAGCTGTCATATCTGCATCAGGTCTGCTTTTTAAAATGGAATGATTTAACAGTTCCAATAAAATTGAAGCCCCCTTTGGGTCCCCTGCAATACATTCTCCACTCCCCTTTTCCTCAAAGGCAAACATTATCATGAATTTATTATTATTTATTATTATAATTTATTATTCCAATCTAGGTTTTACACTTTCACTCACATATGAACTCATGTAGAATACCGCTTTGAAAGATTTTAAAATATACATATGTGATGTTAGACTGTAGATATTATTCTGATTTTTAAAATTTGTGGTATGTTTTTATTTTTTCTCTTAATGTTGATAAATATTGATCCAGTTCATTATTTTAATCTCTGTATCTCTTTAACATTTTGTGCCATTTATATATTAGTAAAGGGGACTTCACATCTGATGTGTGAAAGTATCCTATTATGTCTTTTGCCTTAATATTTTTAAAGTTTTGTTTTTCACAGATAAAACCCATCTATCTGTGGCTTATCATTTTGAATGCTGTAAATTACATTTGACTTTTCCCCACACCCCCAGTATAGAAAGCCTGTCATGACCTGATTTACAGAACTGTCTTCATATCACTACTAATGTATAATGCTGCCATGATTGCAAATTAAATTTCTGTACATTCATAAATGTGTTCCTAGCTTGTCCTTTCTCATAGATCAAACCAATTCTGAGCCAGTAGCACACTTTTAATGAATTTCTATGGCTCCATAAAAAGTCTCAATGTATAGAAGGGCCTGGCCCCTTCTTTGTTCATTTTAAAAATTGTGCCAACTATTTTTGGACTTTCACTCTTCTATCTGAGTATATAAAGTCTTCTATATGACTTTAGCATCAGTTTGCCAGGTTCCTTAATGAAAAAAAATTGAGGGGTATTTGAGTTAAATTTACAGGTTAAATTAGGTAAGCTGTGATAGCTTTACAAAATTTAGTAATCCAATGCCTGAATATTATTCTGATTTTAAATATCTTTCAATAACATTTTATAATATGTTTATAAAGTGCTTGGTTTATTTTCTAGGTGCCCTCCCAAGTATGTTGTTGTTTTTGTTGCTAGTATAAGTGAGATTTAAATTTTTTTTAAAAAAATTGGTCATTACTACTGTTTGGAAGTGCTATAGATTTTGGAATAATTTTGTTTTAAAGGAAAACATGCTGTATATTCTTATGAAATAGTTTATTTGCAGATTAATTTGTATTTTCACATAGATAATCACATTATAATGAACTAATATTCCTGATACCTTCTTTCCTTTCTGACTTCTTTGGGTGGGCTGGGAATTCCCACAGAAGGGTAGCAGAAAACTGTGTTCTCCTATTGCTGTTACTTAGAGAGTGTTTCTAATGTGTCATCATAATTTATCATATTTATTGGGAGTTTTTGATAAAAACTTTTTATCACATTAAGGTAGTCCACTTCTATCCCAATTGTGTTTAAAGCAATAATATTTTAAACCATAAACAGTGAAATTTTACTAGTTAGTAAAACACAGAGATGGTTATAGATTTTGTCTTTAATATGTCAATGTAACAAGTCAACCTTGATGGATTTTTCTAATCCATCATTGACATTGAATTCCAAAGCAATCCTGTTTTGCTATGTGGTACTGTTATTTTTTAATATATCACTTCATATAATTTGTGATTTAAAAAAAATTTTAGCATCCTGTCTGTGTCATTGATTTATAATTTACATTTCTTTCAATGACCTTGTCAATTTTAGGTGTTGGGTTATACTACCTTCAAAAAGCATTTGAAAATTTCCTTCATTTTCTGTATCCTGTGATTGTTTGTATGAGACAGGTTATTATATTGTTTCTTTGAATGTTTGGTAAATTTTCATGTGAAGTCATCACATTTTGAAATTTAACTCAGTTTCTCTAATTTTTCTTCTACCAGTTTTGGTAATTCACATTTATCTTAAAATAAGATATATTTTAAAAATTAGATATACTTAAACATTTAAAATTTGGTACATAGTTCATATTTTTTATTATAAAATTTAATACCATATCTGTAGTCTTGTTCTGTTTTTCTCCTCTGATCTATACTTGTCAATTCTCCACTTTTGGGGGCTTAACAAAGGTTTTCTATAATTTTAGACAAACCTATAAATGTTCATTTACGGTCTTTAAATGGCCAACTTTTGTTGACTATACTTCCCTTTTAAATATGTATGTTTATTTAATTTCTGTGTTTGTCTTCATTAATCCCTGACATTTGCATTGAATTTAACATGCTACTCCTCAAAAATGCTTTCCAAGTTATGTATCTAACACATTAATCACCAGTCCTTCTTATTTTCTAACAGAAATTTACAGCTATAAATTTCCTTTCAAGGGCATTGCTTTATCCATAGCCCACAGGTTTCCAAAAGAGTGCCATCATTGCTGTTTGATTCTAAATACTTCGTAATTCCACTGTGATTTCTTAAAGATTACATTTTCAGAAAAGTGCTCTTCCTGAATTTCCGTGGAATTGTACCACTTGAGCAATAACTCTGACTAGTGCTCATTGTGTAACCTCTTGGGACCCCCTCTGGAAGTATAATTTGGGATCATTTGAAATGAAAAGTTAAAAAGGGTAATTTCTCAATATCGTATATATGGTGACTTTCAAATAAATGTTACTGAAATAATCTTTCTCACAAACCCATTCAGAAGCTTCCTAAAAATCATCAAAGAGATGTTTCTGAAAGCCTTGAATACCTGACCTGGCCATTCCTTTGGTCATAAGTGATTTAGAGCAGGTATATAATAAGCATTCTGCCAATATGCCAAGAATAAGTGAATAGGAATTTATAACTTACCAGATTATCATTACTGTTCATTCATGATTGTCAGTCTTAAAAAGACAATCAGCATCCCAGAAACACTGGGTAACCTGCAAACACTGAAACACTGCAAACTTGTTTGCATTTGGGCTGCTTTTTTTCCTACCCTTTGGGAAAAGCAAGTCCATTCTTGTTCTAGCCGATTATATCTTGCTTTTCCAGGATCCACAATTCATTATATATCTTCCACTTCTCCAAAATATTTTTTGTTTATCTCTTTACAGAATAATTTGAGTCA